ATTTATTTCTTGGTCTTGAGCAAAATAACATGAAATTTGATGTCAGAACACTGGAAATCTATCAATAATTTAGATGATGAGCGTCCAAAATTAAAATATTTGTTAAAATTCCAGTTATTTCTCTACTATTATGGGACTAGTTTTAAAATGCGCGCCTTTATTTTGCAAACAATTTGATACCAAAATGAGCGATGTAACATGAAAATTGATGTTATCAAACTGAACGAGTATACACATTAGGTTGTGGTGTGCAAATTGGTGCTCGTTCACAGGTAACTTTAGGCTTTGCTGCGGAGAATCTTGCCAGGTTTTTGGGCATTATATGCATATACATCTGCAGGGAATTTAATTGCGAACACAATGATACCAAAACGAACGACATAGCACAAGAATTAAGGTGAGAAAACCGAAACGAGTATACACATTTAGGTGTCACCGCAAGCTCGCCCGCACCATTGGCCCCATGACGTCAAAGTCTGCGGTGCGCGCATGGCGCTGGCAATACTGTTAACTTACATGCAATATGTCTGAAACTGAACTAAACATAGGTATTGTAATTTGTTTAAAAAGCACATTATTTCAAGAAACTAGGGTTGACAGATTGTTTTTTTTTTTTTTTCTTTCACGACTGCAATGCGTACGTTGCCAATGTACATGTGGCAGATGCTTCGGATACTCGGTAATGATGATATGCAATAAATCACAAATACACTGTCAATGGGACAGGCAATAACATGCACAATAATAATGTCACACAATAACTAAATGTGTGGTGTATGTGAAACTCACATTCACAGACAAGTGAAATGCCGTGATACCACACAGATAACACGCATACACCATCGATTCACCTATAACCTGTGACAGGTATGAGAAGGTGAGAACTGTGGTTGATACCTCAGATCAACACAGACACAATAAAACAATGACAAGATCTTGTACTTACAGATAAGGTACCTTTCCTTACTCACTCACTCACTCACTCGGGCACATTTATACAAGCACTCGTAGGTGGCCTGATAGCTGGTTTCCTCATTCTTAAGTGAGACCATTGACGACAGGTTCTCCCACAAACCGTACTTGACACGGGGCAGGAGAGCGTGCTGTATGCTTAACAGACACACGCACACACACTTGGCCCTGGCCGTGAGTAAGGGTGGTGACGTCACGTGGTACAGTGAGGGCGGCGGCGGCTCTGGTACCATGCACTACACTGTACACTGTGGTACAGGTACGCTGTGGTAAAGTCACACACAGATTACTTAGGCGGCAGCACTGCCTTAGTTCACTCTGTCACTCTCAACGATCTTTGTCACCAGGGGTTACCTGATACCAGTCTGTTTCGCTCTGGAGATTTGTCACTTTAGGCTTCTGAACCATATACTCACACTCGTGATTCTGGGCGAGTGTGTAATATATCGCAGAGACGCTGAGTTAACTTGACGGTGAGGAATAGACGGTGTTCAGTCTATTGGCCGGTAGACAGAACAGAACCCGTCCTCTCGGTTTGGTCTCCCTCACGTGAATGGTTTTGCAAGGGGTGCTGGGCATCTCGTGGCACACAACACAAAAGGAGTTACAATTTGACAAATAGCATTGCAGCAAGTGAGCGGGAACCAATCATATTAGCTCGTTCGATGAGCGGTAGGAGAGGTGACGTCATGAACACGTCACGAACACGTCGTAGCTGTTATTCACCATTGCGCCGGTTGACCCCAGAGGTCAGATGGTCGCTGGCGCCTCCCCTCTCTCTCTCTCCACCCCGGCCAATGTACTCATTGACCCTTTGGTGGCAAGTATGCTTAACTCCCTGTATCAAATCCTGCCTGGACATACGGCGGCGGCCTTATTATAAAAGTGTTCCTGGTTAAGTGGGCATTCTGGAGATACCCAGCATGCCAGGTCATCAGTGCACAGGCCTAGTGGCTGCTGATGATTTCCCAACAGTGAACACTAGCAAATGTAAACTATGTGAGCAATAGCTAGGGTTGTTGAAAAGAGACTTCAACTACAACTACATTCTAGAGAATCTAGATAGGTGGCAAAAGTCCCAGCTGTGCCACATCAACCTCTTGAAGCAGTATAAAGGTACACCTCGCACTGTGTTAGTATCCCTCTCCACCTTCAAGGATCCCTACCTTCACAGTG